AGTGTAATTGCTACCGAATGTTCCCTACATACATGATGTATTTGCTCTTTGCTTGCTCTTGTGAAACTGTCTATTTTCCTAAGCTACTAAAGTTTTAAAATGCTGTCTGATTTTGCCATAGATCAAGGATATGGATCAGGTTTTTTAGTGTTCTTTTCCATGAAAACCAAATGAAAGGCAGCATAGCATGGGTAGACAGGAGTGTTAAGTATGATCAGCCTAGCATGAAATGAATGCTTAACACTTAATTCTGCAGTTGTTGCAATTGACTGGGTAAGCAAACGAGCAAGTTTGAATATAGATAAATGGCTGATGCTTTATGACTTATATAACTTAAGTTTTCCTTCCTTACTAGGTTATTGATAAAGTCTTAGATGCTTACAGATTGGGTTTGTTGAATTAAAACCAAAACAAATCCAAGCCAAAACAACTTCCACCAACAAAAACCAACCACAAGAAATAACCAGCTAGGTTTCATAGGAAATGTTTTTGTGTTGATGCTCAAAACTGTTACTTCAAAAATATTTTCAGGCTGTAACACTTGACCCAAATTTTTTGGATGCTTACATCAATCTGGGAAATGTCCTGAAGGAGGCAAGGATATTTGACAGGTAAGCAGATAAGTACTGTCGCTCTGTCAGTGCCCTGTCACGTGTATCAAGATATGAATGAGCTTCCTGATGTAAAGTCATTTTGGATAGCATAGCAGACACTTGTGCTGTAAGCTAAGCAAGCAAATACACTATTTGAAATGCATATGGAGCGAGTTACTGGAATGATAAAAAATATAATCCAGTGGACTGTATTTATTGTTACCTTCTTGTACTTAATAAAGTTTGAAAAATTAGAGGTTCTGAAGGTATTGGTAGAAATAGATGCGTAATACAGGCTGGGGAGGGTTAAGATAAGATGCCTGAGAAAGGCGTGAGCCCTTGAATTCTCTGTGTCCATTATGTTATTCAGGATATGATCTATAAACGTGTCTTTTTCATTATGTTATTCAGGATATGATCTATAAACGTGTCTCTTCTAAAATCTTTCTTCTACGTATGGCAAGCTGAAATTCAGCTGAGCATCTGATGGAATAATCTGTATTTGTTATGTGTTGGCATTGGGTTGCAGTACTGTCGCTGGTGTTTTGAACTAACTTGTTTTGGGACCTCTAATCTGATACATGAACCTTACTTTTGCTTCTGGAAGAATATCCAGGCTGTGTTGTTTATATGCAGTATACCATTCTGCATCTGTTAATTGGATTATAATCTCTGGAAACTGTAGTTTGTGGCTTCAAAATTAATACAAGCTTACAGGGAACAGGTTGATTATTCTAACTAGCTGCATTGCACACTGGAAATGATACAGTGATTTCTTCTTTACCTGTGAATTAATGGACCAAACAGGGGCATGTTTCCTCAGCATTTTGGAATTTACATCACCTTGTTGAGAATTTATTTACTATATCTATTGGTGTGATTTGTCTAGAAACAGGATTTGAATATGTTGGTCATTTCAATAGTGCTGTAGGAGCATATAAATAAAGATCTCACTTTTGAATAAAGTGAAGTTTGAACTGTAATTAAAGCATGATACATGTGTTAGGTTAGTGGGGAGAATAAAGACATAATGATATGCTGTTTATATTGTTGTAATTGAATAATGAACTGGGAAAAAAATGGAACAAGTCTCATGCTTATCCTAGTAATGAAGAGTGTTTAAAAGTAGAACATGAAAGCTTTCCTTTTTTTCCAAAGACTTACATTTATCACTGTACAGCATCAGGTGGGAGGAAGACATTCCTGTTTTATTAAGTATTTCTTCTAGTCTCCTAGTCATTGCAAAATTCAGCATAGCTTTAAAATAACATTCATCATAATCTCTTGATTGTCCATTTAATTCGGGCAGTACTCTTCTGTCTTTTCAGTAACACAGGACAGATTTGTGTGTGTGTTAATACATATTCCTTGAAGTTTGGGGTTTTTTGTGTAAATCTTTTTTATGACCAGGGTAAATAAAATTGCTGTTCTGTGGATAATTGTTTACCTTCTTTTTCTTGTTACAGAGCTGTAGCAGCTTACCTACGAGCCTTGAGTTTGAGTCCAAATCACGCAGTTGTGCACGGCAACCTTGCCTGTGTGTATTATGAGCAAGGACTAATAGATCTAGCAATAGACACCTACAGGAGGGCCATTGAACTGCAGCCCCACTTCCCTGATGCCTACTGTAACTTGGCCAATGCCTTGAAGGAGAAAGGCAGTGTAAGGAGTCCTTTTTTTCTTTTTAAATTTTTTAAAAGTAGATGAATGCTTATTTTAGACACCAGGTGTCACCAGCTTTATCAAGATGGGATGTTACCCTCACTCAGTCATAAGGAAGACTAATTCAGGAAATCTTCACCTTGAACTTATTAAAAGTGATGGTGTAACGATTCTCATAAACAGCACTGTTACAACAAAAATTACCGTATTAACAGTATTCTTTTTTTTTTTTTTTTTGGAAGGTGGTAGAAGCAGAAGAATGCTACAATACAGCTCTGCGACTTTGTCCCACTCATGCAGATTCTCTCAACAATCTAGCAAACATCAAACGGGAACAGGGGAATATTGAGGAAGCTGTCCGTCTTTATCGGAAGGCTCTTGAGGTACAGTTGAATGTGGGGAGGGAGAGCTGTGGAATTTAAGTTGGGAATGTGTAATAAGATGAGGACTTTTTCCCTCTTCAGTCATAAGTAGAGGAACATCAGTTCAGAGACCCAAGTCATAAAAATAAGATTAAGAAATGCACAAATATTTTTTTGATATTATGTACATGTGAAATCTGAAAGATTCCACTTTTTCTTCCAGGTGTTCCCAGAGTTTGCTGCCGCACATTCAAATTTAGCAAGCGTTCTGCAACAGCAAGGAAAGTTACAGGAAGCTCTGATGCATTACAAAGAGGCTATTAGGTAAATGGAGACTATCTGTAATAGTCTCAGCCTTTCTTAACAGGAAAGTACCATACCTCTTTACAGAAAGTGACTTACAGTAGTGTATTTGAATTCAGATAGTTGCTTAGCAAACCCAAAAGTTAGTATGGTTTCTCTTTGGAGGAGGAGCTTTTATTGTTCGTGATAATATATGTTATCTTTATTTCTTAGAATCAGCCCCACATTTGCAGATGCTTACTCTAATATGGGAAATACTTTGAAGGAGATGCAGGATGTTCAAGGAGCTTTACAGTGCTACACTCGTGCCATTCAGATAAACCCAGCTTTTGCTGATGCCCACAGCAACCTGGCCTCTATTCACAAGGTAGCACATGCAAATGATTCACTCTTAAGAGTATGGTGGGGCACTGTGAGTACTTACCCTGAGTATATTTTTATCTGCTGACTCATTTCTGTGTCCTTACAGGATTCGGGGAATATACCAGAAGCCATTGCCTCTTACCGCACTGCTCTGAAACTGAAACCTGATTTCCCAGATGCCTACTGCAACTTGGCCCACTGTTTGCAGGTGAGGAAGATGAGGCTTTGGTTGTAATTCTTAAGATTCCTCTGCAGAAAATATTAAGTATGCTCACCTCAACAAATCACTAATTTAAATTGACAGAGTAGACTTAAGACTTAAATGAGAAGATAAGACTATATAGTAACCAAAAGTTTTTACTGAAGTCCTCATTTCCATCTGTGAAAGAAGCATTAGTCTCAACTTGTGAAATACCTGGTACAGATCAAGGGAAGCTGTTATCCTAATATTCTTTTAATTTTTCCCCTTTTTCTAGATTGTCTGTGATTGGACAGACTATGATGAAAGAATGAAGAAGCTGGTTAGCATTGTAGCTGATCAACTGGAGAAAAACAGACTGCCTTCTGTCCACCCACATCATAGCATGCTGTACCCCCTTTCTCACAGTTTTAGGAAGGCTATTGCTGAGAGACATGGAAATCTGTGTTTGGACAAGGTAGGAAGTTGCGATTCAATTACCTGGGTTTTCCTGTTCCTACTGAAACTCTAATACTTGCATAGTTAGTATTAGCCTTTGTAAGGTTTCTAAGTCACTGTCCTGTACAGAGATGGTAAATACTGTTACTCATCTAGTTTTGGAAAGTACGTATGAGGGGTGTTCAGAAAAGCCGAGCCAATAAATTCTTTCCTGACAGTAAGATAAATTCAGGCACCTGTGTGACAGTATCTCTCAAAATCTGGTCCTTTCCAGCATCTGTAGTGCTTGGAACCTGACCTTGCCTCTAGTGAATCCTTGCTGGAGTATGAGTTTTGTGTTCAGTTAGCTCTGGGCTTTCAAAATGCACTTGCTTTAGTGGTGATGGCAGCAATGTTTACAGGGGCAATGCATCACAGTAAGAAGTATTTGTTATGATTCTGTTTTGAATTGCTTTATGTACAGTAGAATAGATTCTTCCAAAACTGTATATTCTCTTGCTGAATTACTTAACTGTTTCTACAAGTGTGCAGAGCAGAGTGCAGTTGTAGTCAGTGGCAAATTCTTTAACTAAAATTCAATGCTTCTTTTTCATAGAATCATAGAATGGTTTGGGTTGGAAGGACCTTAGATCATCTAGTTCCAACCCCTCTGCCATGAGCAGGGACACCTCGCACTAAACTGTGTTGCCCAAGGCTCTGTCCAGCCTGGCCTTGAACACTGCCAGGGTTGGAGTATCACAGCTTCCTTGGGCAACCCATTCCAGGGCCTCACCACCCTCACTGTAAAGAACTTCTTCCTTTTATCTAATCTAAGCTTCCCCTATTTAAGTTTGAAGCTGTTACCCCTTGTCCTACCACTCTAGTCCCTAATGAAGAGTCCCCCAGCATCCTTATAGGCCCCTTTCAGATACCAGAAGCTGCTCTGAGGTCTCCAGCAGTTTCTCTTCTCCAGGCTGAACAGCCCCAACTTTCTCAGCCTGCCTTCCTCCA